AACATGAACTTACTAGTTGATACACATAAAATGGAAGTAAAGAGAACAGTAGTGCAAATTTGGCAACTTAGGGAATTTTAATTAATTCAGAAGGTCAAATATGTGTGCTGGGGTTAGTTTTAGGGGAGACTGGCAATGTAGGGCTGGATGAGTCATAAAGCATTTATAAACTGCAATAAATGAAGGAAGAATGAAGAAGGATTAGGACAGGGATTAAGTGATTTGTCTCTATCAAATGAAATAATATGCATAGCAAAGTCTAGGCAGCTGTGTTATCCACGTCAACCTAAATCTGTGTCTCCTTATATCTGCCTCAAATAAAAGGACATTAAACATTAAAAGCATTAATGTTTATTTAACATTAAAAAAAAACAAACAGTAAACAAAAAAAACCCCACTCAGAATGTTGCAAACACCATCATTCTATGGGAAGAGGGAACACTAGGTCACAGAGAAAGGTGTACATTATCAATGCAGCGTTGCCTCTGAAAGCGGAACAGGAAGGGGGAACATTTCAAAGAAAACAAAAGAACTGGTTTTGTTGATTTCAACAAACTATATCTGTCAGCCGAGTAAATTCTTCTAATAAGCCTTTTTAGATGGAAGAAAATTAGGAGCAATTTGGGGAGCTCTTGTTTGGGGACTTCTGCATCAGTGAGGAGGTTGCTAAGGTTGGTCATCAGGGAACCAAGCACCCCATCCAGTTCAGGAAGGATTACTGTGCATTCATTCACCATTCACTCTTTTTTTTTTTTTTTTAAGGATTATATTGATTGCTTATTTATGTGGCTGCATCCAGTCTTAGTTGAGGCACACAGGCCCTTCATTGCATCACATAGGATCTTTTATTGCAGTGCACAGATTCTCTAGTTGGGGCTCTTGGGGTTCAGTAGTTGTGGCACATGGGCTCAGTAGTTGCAGCACACAGGCTTAGTTGCTCTGTGGCATGTGGGAGCATCACCTGCATTACAGAGCGAATTCTTAAACGTCAGTACTAAAGGAAATCAGTCCTGAATATTCATTGGAAGGACTGATGTTGAAGTTGAAGCTCCAATACTTTGGCCACCTGATGCAAAGAACTGACTCATTGGAAAAGACCCTGATGCTGGGAAAGATTGAAGGCAGGAGGAGAAGGGGATGACAGAAGATGAGATGGTTGGATGGCATCACTGACTGACTCAATGGACATGGGTTGGACCAAGCTCTGGGATTTGGTGATGGATAGGGAAGCCTGACATGCTGCAGTCCATGGGGTCACAAAGAGTCGGACACAACTGAGTGAATGAACTGAAATGAACTGGCCCATCAGGGAAGTACCCACCAGTCACTCACTGTTCATCCAGCACATTTAAGTGATACTTCTGTGCCCTACACTATGATGTCAGGTGCTGCAGGGAGTTAAAGCTAGGTAAAGGTCCTTGCCCTGGAAAAGTAACACATGAATCCAGAGATTCCCAACCAAAGAAGTGCTCTACTTAAGGGTCAAATGAGAGAGAAAGTGTGTGTGTGTGTGTGTGTGTGTGTGTGTGTGTGTGTGTGTGTGAAGTCACATACACACAGAATCATTTGATCCTTAAATAGAGCACATTACTTACACACTTTATATAATACATATTTTTAAAGCCTTGGAGTCTGAAGTCCAGAGTCAATCTAGACTCTATATTTGAGTAACTACTGTTTGACCCTCAATATTTTCAGCTGTAAAACTAGGATAATAACAGTTACATCACAATTGTGAGGCTTAAATGAGATGACTCATGTGAAAGCTTTGTGTAAAGAGTACAGAACTCTGCAAACATTTGTAATAGAATGAAAAATTACTGAAGTGAATATTCCAGGACTTTTAAGCAGTGTTTGTCAAAGTGTGTTTGCTGAGACATTGAGGCCCCAGGATGCTAACTGGCATTTCTCACGAAGAGAGTTGTGTGGTCTGGAGGGAAGGCAAAACTTTACACTCAGGGTTTCTACCTGGAACGGAGAATTAAATTGACACAGATAAACAGGAGCAAAGCACACTGATTTTTTTTTTTTTTTACATGTTCATGGGCGCACCCACAGAAAAATGAAGACCCAAAGAAGCAGTTAGAGCCAAACACTTAGTTATATACTAAATTGGACACAGAGTAGTAAGGAGCAAAAATGGGGGGCAACAAAGGGACTTGAGCCAGGGCAGTTAACAGTGAAGTGAATATAAAGATAAAGGTTACTTTAAAAAGTTTCTTTGTGTAGACTTCCCCCTTCCTTGACTCTCAGCTCTGGTGATAAGCCTTTTTCTTTCCTCATGGTATAGGGAGGACATTGTTCACTTGGGAGTTCCATTTCCTGCTTTTAGAAAGAAAAAGGAAGTTCAGAGTACCCTTCTTCCAACTGCTGATTCTCAGGTGCCTCAAAATAATCTTTATGCCATAGTATGCCAATATTTTGGGGTGGCATATTCTGCCACTCCTCAAATCAAATAAACTTGAGAAATACAGGATGATACAAAGTAAAGCACAGTTCTTAGGCCTTGAAAGCCCTGTCAACTCAAGGAGAGAAGCTATATTCTCTCTTTCCCCAGATTAATTTGTTTTCAGCATCAAGGCATCCTCTTCCCCACCCCCATACCACCCAAACTCCCACTCTAGCATCTAGATCCTGGAAATGAACAGAACCCATTTTTAGAAAGACCACTCTCCAGAAAGAAAATGATTACCTTTATTGAATGCTTTTGAACTGTGGTGTTGGAGAAGACTCTTGAAAGTCACTTGGACTGCAAGGAGATCCAACCAGTCAATCCTGAAGGAAATCAGTCTTGAATATTCATTGGAAGGACTGATGCTGAAGCTGAAACTCCAATACTTTGGCCACCTGATACAAAGAACTGACTCATTGGAAAAGACCCTGATGCTGGGAAAGATTGCAGGCAGAAGGAGAAGGGGATGACAGAAGATGGGATGGTTGGATGGCATTACCGACTCGATGGACATGAGTTTGAGCAAGCTTTGGGAATTGGTGACGGACAGGAAAGCCTGGTGTGTTACAGTCTATGGGGTTGCAAAGAGTCAGACAAACTGAGTGACTAAACTGAACTGAACTTCAATTTACAATCCATCAGCCTCTCAAAACTTAGCCATTCATCAACAGAAAATCTAGGAAATCATTCAACAACTTTCCAAGAACAGAGATTCCCAGAAAGGAAGGCAGAAAAGAAAAGGGCCAGCCAACTGTGCCAAATATGCCAGATGGGATTTCAGCATAGAATGGGGCAGGACAAGTAGGGGATACCTCTGGGATTCCTTCCAAGGTACCTGCTGCTGGTAAAGCAGTGTATGCATGCTCAGTCATGTCTGACTCTTTTCAACCCCATGGACTGTAGCCTGCTGGGCTTCTCTGTCCATGGGATTTCCCAGGCAAGAATACAGGAGTGGATTGCCACTTCCTTCTCCAGGGGATCTTTCCAACCCAGGGATGGAACCCTTGTCTTCTGTATTGCAGGCAGATTCTTTACCGCTGAGCCACCAGGTAAAGCAGTAGGAAACGTAGAGTCATAAAAGTGAAGAGTAGTGAGCTGATTCTCAAGACTTTAAATAGGATATAAACACTAAAGACCAGTAACACAAACAAAAGTTTCTTGGCTTCCAAGAAGTTTCTCTACTTGCAGAAGTATCTTCAAGCAAGAGAATTTGCTCCTTCCTTCCCCATTCAGGGAGGCTCATCAGGCAAGTGGCATTCCCACTAACACCCTGTCTTTAAACTCCCGTCTGTTCTCTCAACACACACCAAACCCTGCCTGGCTTCATGTTTTGTTTTGTTTCCATTTATTTTTATTAGTTGGAGGCTAATTACTTTACAATATTGTAGTGGTTTTTGCCATACATTGACATGAATCAGCCATGGATTTACATGTGTTCCCCATCCCGATCCCCCCTCCCACCTCCTTCCCCATCCCATCCCTCTGGGTCTTCCCAGTGCACCAGCCCTGAGCACTTGTCTCATGCATGCAACCTGGGCTGGTGATCTGTTTCACCCATGATAGTATACTTGTTTCAATGCTGTTCTCTCAGAACATCCCACCCTCACCTTCTCCCACAGAGTCCACAAGTCTGTTCTGTACATCTGTGTCTCTTTTTCTGTTTTGCATATAGGGTTATTGTTACCATCTTTTTAAATTCCACATATATGCATTAGTATACTGTATTGGTCTTTATCTTTCTGGCTTACTTTACTCTGTATAATGGGCTCCAGTTTCATCCATCTCATTAGAACTGATTCAAATGAATTCTTTTTAATGGCTGAGTAATATTCCATGGTGTATATGTACCACAGCTTCCTCATCCATTCGTGTGCTGATGGGCATCTAGGTTGCTTCCATGTCCTGGCTATTATAAACAGTGCTGCGATGAACATTGGGGTGCACGTGTCTCTTTCAGATCTGGTTTCCTCGCTGTGTATGCCCAGAAGTGGGATTGCTGGGTCATATGGCAGTTCTATTTCCAGCTTTTTAAGAAATCTCCACGCTGTTTTCCATAGTGGCTGCACTAGTTTGCATTCCCACCAACAGTGTAAGAGGGTTCCCTTTTCTCCACACCCTCTCCAGCATTTATTGCTTGTAGACTTTTGGATAGCAGCCATCCTGACTGTAGTGTAATGGTACCTCATTGTGGTTTTGATTTGCATTTCTCTTATAATGAGTGACGTTGAGCTTCATCTTAGATCCTTCCAGAAGGTGCATCTGAGAACTGTGCTGGGAGAGGCGAGGAGGGGAGGAGCCGAGGGCGCAGGCCCGGGGCGCTCAGGTGCAGGGACGGCCGGCCACGCCCCATGCCGCGCTGTCGCTGCGCACCTCGGGTCGGGTGGGGCGGACCTGAGGGGGCGGGGCGGACCTGGAGAGAGGGCGGGGCGATCTTCAGGGGACAGGGGCGGGGCCTCGGGGCGCGGCCGTGCGAAGTGACCCGAATCAACGTTCCCGCGGGCGGCGACGCCAGAGCGCCCACTACCTCGAGCAGGTAACCGGCCGCGGCCGCGCGGCACTGCCTCAGCGGCGTGTGAAGCGGGTACTCCCCGAGAGCGAAGCGTGGAGACCCCGGGGACGCGGCGGGGGAAGGAGCCAGGGGCTCAGGTGTGGCGTCGCGGGCTCTGTCCCGGGTGAGCTGTGTGACTTCGAGCGGCCGTTGCTGGGCCCACCCGGTGGGACTTGCCGGCGGCTGAATAGCCCCCTCACCCGCAGCCTCTGGAGCCTGTGTGTGGAGCTATTGTTTTGTAGGGTTTGGTCGCCTTTAACTTAAAAAAAAAAAAAAAAAAAAAGTCGCACTATTTCGGGACTCGGGGGATTGTACCTGAGTCTCCTCAGAGACGCCTGCTCTCCTCAGGCCTGAGGGAAGTTTCCTCGACAACCGGGATCTCTGAGGCCTGGAAGGCAGGGAGGATCTCGCCCGGTGGAGCACTGGGGGCTGTGGGTCCGCTGGTTTCACGTGTCTCCTCGTTGGGACCCCAGGGCCGGACGGAGGGGAGACCCCAGCCCTGGCGGAGCCAGCCGCGTGCCCCACTCCCTGCCCTGGGCGCGCGCTTCCGATCACCGGTTCTGGGAGCAGGGGCTGGGGAGGGGTGGGGTGGCCTCTTGGTTAAGAGAGAAGAGAAGGCTTTTCTTTTACCTGGAGAAAACTGATGAGAACTGGTTAGAGAATTGCTTATATCTGTGATGTTTCTGAAACTTTTTGAATCCGCGGAGGGGTGGTAAATATCACTTTGCTTTGCATTTTGGAAAATATGAATTATCTACCTAGCTAGATTTTAGATTTGGCTTCTATCTCCTCCAGTTTTTTCTTCTTGTTTCTTTACTGTGGTTTTCTTTAGAACAGGGAAATACTACGCATGAATCGTGGCTATATGGCACACAGATGGTAGGTGATGCCAAGCCAAAAAACGCTAATTAATTCCTTTAGAACAGGTGTCCCCCCCACGTCTGAGATTTAGTGGCTGATGATCTGAGGTCGAGCTGGTGTAATAATAGAAATAAAGTGCACAATAAAATGTTTAAATCATTTCAAAACCACTCCGGGTACCCCTCTGGCTCCCCGCCTCCCCTCCCCCCACACACACCACCTCCAGAAAAAATTCTCTTCCATCAAACTGGTCACTAGTGCCAAGAAGTGCCAAAAAGTTCGGGACCGCTGCTTTAAAATACAGCATGTAAAAGAATTGCTTTCATTTTTAAAATATACTGATTCTTCCTCCAAGTGGGCTGTTTGATAGAGGTGTTTTCCCTGATTAATACTGTTATAAAAAAAATACTGTTATAAGTAGCCTGGAAACATTGAGTTAACAGTAACAACACTCCCTACTTACCAGTTCAATATTTTGATATGTGACTTTTTCAAGGTTAAAAATTGCTCTTTCTGGAAGAAACTATTAATATTGATTGCCTTTGAGAAGGGGGATTTGAGATATTTTAATCATATATTTTGTAGCTTTTGCTAATGACTTTGAGTCTGGAGAAAAAAAGCCTTCATAAAAATTTGCTCTTTTTAAAAAAATTCTTTGAGAAACAAAAATTTTAAGTTCCTCTTGTATTTTATTGGCTCCACTTGAATTACAATTGTGTGTTCACAAATAAAACAAACTGAGGGACTGATTCAGGTAGAGAGAAAATGAACTTGTGATTCTTGTTGGACCTTTGGCAGAGCTGTCTAGTTGGCAGTTAGGTATATTGGTACTGGGATTTTCTAAAGTCAGGATCAGAGTTGTGAATGTTGGAAACCACCCATGGATTTGTGATACTTAATCTTGTGAGAGTGGAAGAAATGACTCAAGTAAGTAGAATTTTTTTAAAAAAAGAGGAAGACCAAGGATGAAAAATACCAATACTTAAGTGATGGGTAGAGACAGCCAAGGAGACCAAGGAGGCAAGTTCAGGAAAGAAGGAAGCAAATTAACAGACAGTGGTGTCATAAAAGCCAGGAGAGGGAAGAGTTTTAATAAAAGATAGAAATCTATTTGAGAGTCAAATGAGATAGAGGAATCAGGAAGATAGGAACTGATAAAATGCCTGTTGCCTTTGGTAGTTAGAAGGCTGTCATTGAACTCAACAAGCATAGTTTAAATATTGGGTTGGTCAAAAATTTTGAGATTTTCCACATCTTACAGGAAAACCTGAAGGACCTTTTTGGCCAATCTAATAAAAAGATAAGGATGGAAGCCAAATTTGAATGACTTTGAGGAGTAAATAGAAGATGAAGAAATAAAGATAGTGAGTGTAGAATTCTTATTTTGATACACAAAGATTTGAAGAAGTGATAGGGTAGTGGAGTACAGGGGAGTTTATGGTCAGATTGGAAAGAATATAAGGCCAATAGGATTTATATTTATATTAAATATATATTTATGTTAAAGAGCATCTCCCAGCATGGTTCCTGTCTGCTGGTTAAGTAGTAGCTGAGAGCAAGTATCTGAGCATATTGAATAGAAAATATTTAAGCCCCCCCAATTCAAATTATGAACACTCTTTTAGTGATATTTTGATCTGTTGTGTTCAGATGTTGTCAATGTTAAAGTCACACTTGAACAAACTGTTGAATTGTATTTCACCTGAGTTCCAGTATTTAGATGCTCCCAACTTAGCATATTAAAAAAAGCGGAGACATTACTTTGCCAACAAAGATTCATATAGTCAAAGCTATGGTTTTTCCAATAGTCATGTATGGATGTGAGAGTTGGACCATAAAGAAGGCTGAGCACCAAAGAATTGATGCTTTTGAACTGTGGTGTTAGAGAAGACTCTTGGGAGTCCCTTGTTCCTTGGAACCACTTTAGCATTCTTGCCTTGAAAACCCCATGAATAGTATAAAGGAAATCAACCCTGACTATTCATTGGAAGTACTGATTTTGAAGCTGAACCTCCAACACTTTGGCCACCTGATGTGAAGAGCTGACTTGTTAGGAAAGATCCAGATGCTGGGAAAAATTGAAGGCAGGAGAAGGAGACAACAGAGGATGAGATTGTTGAATAGCATCACCAACTCAATGGACATGAGTTTGAGTAAGCTCTGGGAAATGGTGATGGATAGGGAAGCCTGGCATGCTGCAGTCCATGGGGTCACAAAGAGTCAGAACAACTGAGTGAGTGAACAATAACTTTTAAGTCATGTGATTTTTCTAGTGTGTATCTCAATGACTTTTCTAAAAATCTTACGTAGGTATCAGACATTTTGGCTGAATCAGAATCCATGAGGCATACACCAGTTAGTGCCTTTGCTTCAGTTATTATCATGCATTTAAGGGAAAATGCTCTTAGATGAAAATTTCTGAGTTTAACTTCAGTCTTCATTGAGAGTTTAATTTTTTTGTTCAGGCAGTAATTTTATGTGTATTTTTCTTAGGGTATGAAAAGGCTAAAAATGGAAAAGGCAAACAAGTGTTGATAATGTGGAACAACTGGAACTCTTGTACTTGGCTGGTAGAAGTGTAAATTGGTGGCAATATCTACTAAAGTGAAGCATATGAATAAGTTATATCCAAACTATACCTGACAAAACTCTAAAAACAGCAAACTAAAGTAATAGAAAACAGATCAATGGTTACTTGAAGGTAGGGGGCAGCAAGGGAACGAAAAGGGGATGGATGTAAAGGGGGTAACTTTCAGGGATGGTGAATTAATTCATCAGTCAGTTCAGTTCAGTTGCTCGTTATGTTTGACTCTTTGCAACCCTTGAACTGCAGCCCTCCAGGCTTCTCTGTCCCATGAATGTATTTGTGGGTATGTTCATTTTCTTGATTATAAAGATGTTTCCACTTCTGTATACATATGTCTGACTCATGTAATTGTACATTTTAAATATGTGCAATTCATTTAAGTCAGTACCTCAATAAAACTGTTTAAAAAAAAAGAGCAAAAATAGTAGAATGGGAATTCCTTGGTGATCCACTGGCTAGGACTCCGTGCTTCCACACTAGGGGGCATGGGTTTGATCCCTGGTCAGAGAACTAGGACCCTGTAAGCTGCAGGGCCAAGACCAAAGCCAAAAGAAAACAAAACAAACTAGAGAGTAGAAGAAAACACATCATTTAAGTATGTTTAAGTATTGTCGTTATCTCAGGATGATGGGGTTATTGTTAATTTTTATTTTCTTCATATAGTTTTATATATTTTCATAATTTATACCACAGCCATGTGCTTGCTTAATTTTTAAATGAAAATTATTTCATATGTGCAAAATGGTACTTTTGATAAATCTACATGTTTAGAGACTACAGATAAAATACATGCCCTGTACCTATAGCATGCTATAGACTAATACATATTTTTTTAACCATAGTTGTATCTTTCTCCTGATCATGTCTTTCTCTTGCTATGCTCCTTGAGTTTTTGTATAGTTTTACTACATAAGTAAAACTTATGGACTTTCCTAGTTGCTCGGATGGTAAAGCATCTGCTTACAACGCAGGTGACCCGGGTTCCATCCCTGCATTGGGAAGATCTCCTGGAGAAGGAAATGGCAACCCACTCCAGTATTCTTGCCTGGAAAATCCCATGGACGGAGGAGCTTATTAGGCTGCAGTCCTTGGGGTTGCAAAGAGTTGGACACAACTGAGTGACTTCACTTCACTACATAAATAGGTATTCATAAGTAATGTACTCTTCAGTTTCGTGTTTTGGGGGAGCACAAAATTGTATTTATGAGATTCATCTATGTTGTATTATAGTTCATTTCCTTTTTTGGCTGCATGGCACTCCACTATATGAGTTTACAACTGTTTATCCATCCTCCTGTTGGTGGATATTTAGGGTGTTTTCAGTCTTCATATTAAAATCTGATTTTGCTTTTTGCCATTAAAAGCTATTTTGTTGTTACTGTTAAACGTGTTTGTGTTTCTCTGTGTCCATGCATAAGAATTTCCTGTGCTTTTTTGCCTCAGAGTAGAGTTGTAGATCTTCAGATTTGCTAGATAATACTGAATTGCTTTATAACAGTTCATACCCTCACAAGCAATGTGTTAAGTATTCACTTTGTTCTCTTTCTCAACAACATTTGAGACATTTGTACATTTGTAATAATATGAATTTTTTCAACCATCTGGTAGGTGAGAAATGGTGGAGTTTAATTTACATTTCCTTAATTATGGATGTATGGAATAGCTGTTTATGTTTT